AGTGCCAAGTACAGTGGGAGCATCACTTCCTTAGTTTTACACAAGATGTATCAGTTGATGCATGCCAGTGTGTTGTTTGCCCTGCTGACCACCACCTCGCACTGATGGCTCATGTTCATACAGTGGTCAATCATTACCCCTAGGTCCGTTTCGTCCGTGGTGCAAGTCAAGCTGTTACTACCGAACCTATATGTATGCTGAGGGGTGTTTGCCCCCAGATGGAGCACCTTACTCTTGGAAGTGTTAAACTTCATCTGGTTCCAGCTTGCCCAACTCTTGAGCCTGTCCAGGTCTGCCTGTATCTGCAATCTATCTTCTGGTGTGACCACACTGCCCCATAATTTGGTGTTGTCTGCGAACTTGGCCAGCGAGTTTTTTACTCCCCCATCCAAATCAGACACATGTGGTCTCAACTTTGAGGGCTGCAACATCTTTTTTGCTTTCCCTTCCAGGAAATCAGCTCAGCTGCTCTGTGATAAGTGGCCTTGGGGCCTCTTGCTTGCCTGCACTTCTTGAGTGGTTATCCTGGCTATTACTTTAGGCCCATTCTTTCACATCCCTGTCCTACGCTGTTGTTGAGACGTAGGTCTCTCCGCTCAGTCGTGATCCTTCCCTAAATGCCATTTAAGTAATGAGTGCCTGAAAAATTCAGGTTAAAAAAAATTCATCACTGGGGCAAAGGAAGCAAAGTTATGGCAGCACAGCTGACTGCTAGGGTGGCCATCATGGAGGACATTTCAGTTTTCTGCTACTCTGTCCTCTATTGATACGAAACCCAATGCCTTTATGTCCTCTATTTTTCTCTTCAAGAATGATTATTTTCAAGAGAGAAAAAGAGGATATAAAGGCATCTGGTTTCATATCAATAGAGGACAGAGGACAACTGGACTGTCCTCTATGATGGCCAACCTACTGACTGCCAGGACTGCAGTAGGCAATGCTACCTTTCTACAACAGAGACCTGAGAAAATGGGAAAGAACCACAAGTGGCTTAGGGGGAACATTAGGCAGCATTTCAGCCTCTCTCATTTACTAACAGAGCTGCACTAGCTTCAGCATCTTCTCAGTAACTGGAGAGCCGAAGGCAGTGCTTTTATCCCAGCTGCTTGGGCAGCAGTTGGGCGAGGGGCATCACAGATTCTGTTCCTGACACTGTGACCCTTAGTCACTGTTAAATTGGTTGTCTTTCAAAATCACTGAATATTCTTTGACCTTGCTGTAGTGCCAGATTGGGTGTAATCTGTGATCCCCCAATCCTGCCCCATTTCTGTATCCCCTCAGTTGTCTCCAATCTTATTTGTCTCCTCTCTCCACCAAACAGCCCCAACCCTTTCAGCCTCTGCTCAGACAGAAGGAGCTGTAAGGCCCAACATTTTTGCTTGACCTTATCTCATACCTCTGTATTTGCTTGAGATGGGTGTGACCAGACATTCCAGGGGAGGGCAGCCACTGAAACTTAATATGCTCAGTCCTATACCTTATACTAGATACTCAACCAATGTCTGGGGTCAGGTTGCACTTACAGCAGTAGGTTAGATACCAGAGCCAGTAGCTTCATAAATTAATCACAGATCTGGAAATGGGTATTTCTGTAGGGAACAAAGGATTGTGATGCTCTAGAGGATAAGGCTAGGATACAGAATGACCTGGATAAACTGGAGAAATGATCCAAAATCAATAGGATGAAATTCAAGAAAGATAAGTGCAAAGTTCTGCACTTGGGACAGAATAATTGCATGCACGCATATAGAGTGGGGAATGGCTGGCCAGGCTGCAGTACAATAATTGCCTGGCATTTAGAGTGGACAGTTAGCTGAATATGAGCCAACAGTGTGCTGTTGTTGCAAAAAAAAAAAAGGAATTCTGTACGAACAGAAGTATATTTTGCAAATCAAGGGAAGTGATATTTCCACTCTACTTGGCATAGGCGAGACTTCACCTGGAGTACTGTGACCAGTTTTGGGCCCCACACTTTAAAAATAGATGTGGACTGGCGAGAAAGAGCAGAGAACAACAAAACTGATTAGAGGTCTGGGAAGCATGACTTATTATTAGGAAAGGCTGAAAGAACTTTGATTATTTAGTCTGGAGAAGAGAAGACTGAGGGGGGATTTGATAAAGTCTTCAAATACCTGAAGGGCAATTACAGAGAGGATGGAGATAACCTTTTCTCCGTCGCTGTAGGGAATAGGACTAGAAACAATGGCCTCAGACTGCAGCAGAGGACGTTTAGGTTGGAGATTAGGTTAAGCATTGAAACACGTGACTTAAAGAAGTTGTGGCATCTCCATCTTTGGAAGTTTGCAAAAGCAGGTTAAACAGACACTTGGCTGGAATGGTTTAGTCAGGGACGATCCTGCCTTGAACAGGGGGCTGGACTAATTGACCTCATGAGGTCCTTTCCAGCCCTACTGTCTATGATGAGAAAGTTGATACAGGATTCAATGAATAAATAAATTACAGCTCAGGAATATTATTAATGCCAACTACTATGTTTTTAAGAAAAATAAACTGTATCAAACAATGATTTAATTCTTTTATAAGATTATGAATTTGATCAGTAAGTATATTATATAGATGTAATACATTTCTATTTATGCAAAGTTTTTGACTTAGTAGCTCAAGATATTTTGATTAAAAAATTAGCACTATAAAATATCAATAAAGCATGTTAAGTGTATAAAGCGCTGTCTAACTGACATCTTAAAATTCAGTTGTCAAGGGGGAATAATCACTGAACAGGGATTTTTCTAATGGGGTTCCAGAAGGATCTGTGCCAGTTATTACATTGCTTCAACAGCAATCTGAAAATAAATATAAAATCCCTGCTGATAAAATTTGTGGTTGACAAGGATCAGGCAGAAAGCAGGGGAAGGCAGTCCCTTAGAGATTACTTTAATTGGAAATGCATAGATTAGGGAATGATAATTCATAAAGAGGACCAGACCTGCATCACTTGGGAAACTAGGTCCATTCAAACAGACTAGGTTAATACAGACAAATAAAAACGCATACATCCATAAACAAGGCACACTGGCTGCATCTCGAGTGGACAAGTGTCCAGGGAAGCAGCAATTCTGAAAATAATCCAGAGGGCACTTCCACATGAGCTCCCAGCCTGATGTTGTGTGGTGAGAGGCCTGAAATTATTAGATGTATATACCAGGAAGTAGCAAGCAATGGTGAGCTGTCTTATCTGTGCAGCATTGGTGAGACGGGCACTGGGATACCCTGGGGTCTGAACACTGAAAAACTTGAAGAGGGTGGAGAAAAGGGCCAGAAAAATTATTTGAGGGAATGGAAAAAATGCTTTTCGGTAAGACACATAAAGAGCCCTGCTTGTTTAAGTTATCAGGGAAGACTGAGAAGTGGCCTGGTCACAGTGTGTAAGTGCAGGCAGTCCGCAGACTTACGGCACAATTGGTTCCTGAAAACTGTCTTAAGATGAAATGTTGTAACTCAGAACCAATTTTCTCATAAGAAACAATGTTATAAATGGGGGATTGGTTCCTGAACCAAGGCCCGACACCCTGTTTTCACTAAAAATACCCCAGAATTTTGTACTCAACCGATTATAGATGAATCATATAGCTACATTAATGTATTTATATTGTAAATAGCAATCATATTGATTTGGAAGGACTTCTTTGAGATGACTTTGCTGGACATTTTGAAGGGCTCTTGGTTGGACTTTTTGAAGGGTTCTTGGCTGGAGTCTTCTCAGGAGTCTTGGCTGCAGGTTTTTCTGGAGTCTTGTCTGCTTTCTTAAAGAAAGTGTCCAAGGAAGTTTGGACAGAAGTTCTCTAGGGAGATGAGCAATGCAGCAAACTTGTTCGCTCGCATGGTGTTGCATTGGATCAAGCATTGTTAAGTTGAAAATGTTGTCATAAAATTAAAACAGGGTGTGAATTTATAAACTTTGTAAGTTCCAAAGTGTTGTAAGTCGAGGACTGCCTGTACTTTCTCCAGGAGAGAGCATTGGGTCCTAAGGGCTCCTCAGTGTAATAGAAAAACACAAGACAAGGACCAGGGATTGGAAGCTGAAGCCAGGCACAATTAAAGTTGAAAACAAGGCAGGGTTTTTTCCAGCGTGAGGGTGATTGACTACTGCGGGAACAAACTCCCAGGGGAGGGTAGAGTGTCTCTAGTTATTTATGATTTCAACTCCAGACTTGGGTTGTTTTTTTTTTTTTTTCAGTCAAATTGTAGTTATTATGCTTAATACCAGCCTGTGCCAGGGAAGGCAGACTGGATATGATGGGCTCTCGCAGCCTCAAATGTCGCTGCTACTAGGCTGTACTCATAAGCATAATCACAAGGGCAAAAACCCTTTGCTGCCTGTTGCCCCATCCTCCCTCGGATCTCACTTCACACTCCATGTTGCCCCCCTATAGCCTCACTGGCCTTAAAACCTAGTCCCGTCTTTACAGTAGGCACCTGGGACTTGAAGATCTAAATTCTAGTGCCGGCTCTGCCACCAACTCCGCTATGCTGTGTGAGCATGGGTGTCACTCCCTTCTCTGTGCTGCTTCCCTTCCCTGCAATGCAGGGCTGCTGATACCAGCAGAAAAGATGGGCCAGCGAGCAGGGTACAGGCTTGCAACTCTGGTTCAGATCTCCACTCAGATCCCAGCCTTGGAGCAGCTCCCTACCCAGCCGTGCACCCTGCCAGCACTGCTGGGGCTGGTCTTTCTGGAAACCCTGGTCCTGCGCTGTCACGGCACTGCCACTACTGGGGTCTCCATGGAAAGTGGCTGCAGTGACATGGACAGGGGCTGCTGGGAAATGGAGTCCACTGTGGGCCCGCAGGCTGGACTTTGCTCACCTCTGCTCTAGTCCCTAACCCAGCCTCCTGCATTTAAGTGAAGTCCTTGGCTCAGCCAAGGCAGGTGTGTAGGAGATGAAAAGTCAGTGACTATTTTCATTTGCAGGCAGGAATAAAAGGAATGAGGCCCAATATCTGCTACATTTACATAAAAGAAACAAAGCCAAGCTCTGCCCATTGTGTATTGATGTTGTTTATTAGGTTCCTATAACCTCCTGACACAGCTGGGCCCAGAAAATGGAACAGGTTATTCCTTAAAGTGTCTATTTGACAGAGTCCAGGTTAAGACTGTAGTCAGAGGCACTAGAAAAGGCAGTATTAGAAGCAATGAGAGGTGGTAGTAGCAGGCCTTTTACAGCATGGTGAGCAGGGAAGGGAACTCCAGCCTTCCTGCTGTTGCAGTAGAGACTAGGCACAAGTTTGCTTTCTGTTTATTCAAGCCAGACACACACAGGCACCATGCAACATGACCTGGGCAGGAAATGGTTGGAGAACCGGATTTGGATAGTTACTGCAGTTTGCCTTATCAGAAGCTGGGCATCTGGTGGGTATAGTTGCTCCTAGCTGAGAGCAGTCTGGTTACTAGCCTGGTAATCGGTGCTATGACACACTCCTGAATAGCACCTGCTTCAAAGGGAACCAAAATTTATAGGATAGTTACCAAAAACTGCTCTTTCCTACCCACCCTTATATCACCATTGTTGACAGAGGACTGTGTTTTGATATGATATGCAATCTGTGTGCTCTGCCAGGGGCTGACTATCCTGGTGTCCCACTGTGTTAAAGCTACCCCAGAGAACCCTCCTTTCCAAGTGCTTTGAACAAGGCCACCCCCACTCCCTTTTCAGTGGTGACCCTGCCAGAGCCAGTCACCTTTTAGTGGGTGCTCTGCTCATTTGGGCCAATGCTGACTTACCTTTAGGAGGACAAGCATCAAGTAAATTGGAATATTATTTTTTTTCCCCTCTTAAATCACATATGGCCACTGGCAGTACCACCCACTTCCCAACCCTCCTTTCCAAGTGCCTCAACCTCTCCCTCCAATGTGCGTGACAGAATATACACACACACACACACACACACACACACACCTGTAGCTGCAGACACATGGAGCGGGGCTACGTGTATAGAAGAGAGGCACATACACAGACTTGTGCCCCCCATTGCTATGCCTAATCACATACTTTCCAGCACCTGAATACTCCTTTGCCAAGTGGCTCCTTTACCCCTAGCAATCAGCACAGCAACAGCTGATCCAGAAGTCTCCATGGTGGGGGTGTGACAGATGCACCCTGGTTTGCAGTGAGGGCCTTTTATCTGACCTAGAGATGGAAGGAAAGGCCTTGGAGAGGCAGGTTGGCTTGAGACGCCAGCACCATGCCCTAGTCTAGGCCAGTTACTGTACAAAATGAACAACACACATGTTATTTACAGCCCATTTTTCACATAATGGAGCAGCTTTTGGCTCGGTCTTTCCTGATCTCCGTGTCATTCAACAAGTCCGTCCTGCCAGGCATCTGAGAGGCCCGCTTCAGTCCCCGCTTGGAGTTGCTGCGTTTCAGGTTCTTGTGCATCCTGTTGACTGAAGCCAGCGTGGTCACATGGAAAACATCACGCACGCTGTTCTCCGAGACCTTGGAGGAGCACTCGACGTAAGCCACTGCCCCGATCTGCCGTGCCAACATGCTGCCCTAGGAACCAGGGAAGGGAGGGGAGGAGGGAGAGAAGTGTTAAAATGTCAGCAGTCTGATTAGGGCATCCTCTCACATCACATTAACCTCTGCCTGTGCTGGCAATGGAGCTCAGTCAATGCAGCGCACAGTGGGGAGCTGTGCACACATGATGTTTATTTATCACCTCTTCAAACGAAAGTGAGAGTGTGAGAGTCAGATGCTAGCATGGCCGCTGGGGGAGACAGCTCTGCCAGGTGCCAAAAATGCTGATGCCAGGTGCCTATTTGCTGCTCTCTCAGATGCAGGCAGAATGAGATTAATGAAAGGGAAGCAGGCCTCTTTCCAGGGGTGCAGGGGGAAAGGCATCTCTTTTTCCATCCCTCGCCTGTCCTTTTCCACACCAAAACCTTGCTAGTCATTACAACTGGCAGCCTCTGAGCACAGTGCAGCCTCTTCTACCTGGGGTTACAAATGTAGAGGTTAGACATAAACAAGCCTGCTCCATGTACTAGAGCTGTGCACTCCATGGAGCTTGCACCGAGGCGGCATGTGAACAGACCCCACAGAGCCATGTCTGCCCTTTATCCAGCAACACAGGCTCGACTGCTCACACCACAGGGACAAAACTGCTCATCCATGGGTGGCCTGCTCTCACGGCAGAAGTTAGAGGCCCTCAGACGTCAGAGGACTGGAAAAAAGGGACTGTCACTGCTAACTGTTTGAGGAACAGGGCATCTAAAACTACAGGGGAAGGTGTAGTGGGGAGCAAAGAGAGAACACTCCTAGCCATTGCCTGTTCCTCACAGGTTTCCAGTCTTTGTCCCCAGCTACCAACTCCAGGAAGAACATTCACTCCCATGACAGAACCATTCCCCTCTCCCTGCCCACTTATCCTGGCTGCCTGTAAGGCTGCCCACCCAGGAGATCTGTTCTGGTGCTCACGTTATCACTGCCAGGGACCACCATTCCAGCAGCTCATAGAAGCTGGGTCCGAGAGCGGGTTTTGCTGTGCAGCGATAGTGCACAGCACCTGGGTCTGACAAATGACAGGATTGTCACCTCTACCGCAGAGATAAGGAACTGAGGCCCAGAGAGATTTGGCAACTTGCCCACTGTCATTTGGGGAGCCAGTGGCAGACAGGCACTGACCCCAGCAATCCCATGTCCCAGGCAAGCTCATTGCTCCTGACAGGCCTAGGGCAGAGGGCACCTGTTCTCAACTGTGTGTATAGGGACCCAGAGACCACACTGCCAGTGTCATGCAACCAGACATCTGTTCCTTCACATGTAAAAGCCCTGGCACAAGAAGAGGCCCTGGGGGGCTCCAGTTGTCATAGGGAACTCATGCCACTGACACCTTGTACAATTATCCTCCTTTGCTCAAGCAATATATCCTCTGAGCAGGCAACTTGCAACAGAACATGTGAACCACAGCAATACTCCTCTCCCCTGTAAGCTGATGTCAGTGTTACCAACAGGAAACACATGTCGGCATACAGGCAGTAGGGACAGCCTGGCAGCACCACCAAGGATCCCAGGAGGCTGGCCATGACTCGGAAACAGCTGCTGTCAATACACACCACATCTCAACATGAAGGAATGGAGCCTAGGGTGCAGTACAAGTGCCAAGCCCCCAGGTCTTGGCTATGTAGAGAATTGTACCAGCTTAATGACAGGCAGGACTTTAAACCATGCAAGGCAGAGGAAGACAAGCCCCTGTGTGGACACATTAAGTTCACTTCCAACCAGGCCAGCTTCAGGTTAGTCTGAGTCATTTAGGAACTGGTCTGAGATGAACTGAAAGGAGTTAGTTGTACAGAAATGCACGTCCCTTGGTTTAAGTGGCATCACTTAAACCAAATAGAGTAAAAATTGATTTAAGGGTTTTCAAATGAGGCTTGGCCTTTTGCTGGCCCCTTTACAGGCATCAATTGCCCTGTTGGGGCTTTCATCCCAATCCAGCCACTGAGCCTGGCTGGTTTGGCTGTCCCCTCTCAGTGACTGTGCCACAGCTCCCATTCTGAGCCCACCCACAGGCCCCTGCATCTCACAGAACAGACAGCAGCAACCTGGAGAGGGAATTAGGGTTTGTGCATCAGCATTCACAGCTGAGATTACTGCAGGCCCTGGGGCGATGTGCTATGCCTAGGGCATGGACTTATTGGGCGCCTATACATGTGCAGTGAGACTGCTCCAACACTCTGTAATTACAGTACATTGGAGCAGACTGGATTAACCGAGTCTGCCAGAGTGTGGCAATTACCGCTCCCCAGCGGACTCCAGTGTCCGTACGCTGAAAAATGGCAGTGAGGGCACTTTAACTAAAGCTTGCTGGATGAGCTTTAGTTAAAGCACCCCCACTGCTATTTTTCAGCATGGGGACACCAATACATGTGATGCGTTGGGTGCTTTAGTAAGAACAGCTCTCGGAGACACTAATTAAGGAGTGCCCCCTACTCTCCCCCCCCCCCCCC